ATTTAACTCTATAAACTAAACTATTTCTGGAGCACTTGGCTGCGCAGGATCGATGCATTTTCCTGGTTAACCACTGCACCCACACAGTGTAAATTCCTGCTTGAATTCATTTCTTGCATTTGCAGGAGCAGAAGCACCTCAGACAAGAACTCTCTGCACTGAGGTTCACACTTGCTGTGCCCCAGTTTGGTCCATCGGCCCCGCACCTCCGGGGGCCAGGAGGTGATGAGGTGTTCAGGAATGCTGTGCCACACACCTGAGGACCCTGCAGAGTACATCAGTAGCCTGACAGTGATTTCTGGTGATACAAACTGTGTTTCCAGTGTCACCTGGGTCAGTCACCCATCCACAATGCTCCAAGATCCAGCTGATTTATGTGTAAGATCAGCCAGTGGGAATGTAAAGCTGCCTACAAAGGTCTGTTACTCCAGGAGGTTTGGAAACTCCAGGCTGCTGATTAAAAACAAGAAGGAAGTACCTCCTGGCAGACCATGTCCCTGACAGAACCAGAGACACGATGTACCCAACAGGGCTCTTGATTTGGAGCTGCTCAGTGGATGCTCAGACAACAGAAAGCACCAGTTAAATCCTACCTTAAGCAGTTGCAGAATATCAGTCAATCAATGCCATTTGAAAAAAAAAAAAAATCTATTTATTCTTGTCTTTAGAAAGGCAAGAGTGAGGAGGAAATGGATTTGAAGTAAGCTTAGAGAAGTCCACGATAATACTAATTGAAGATTTTGAAGTGCCTTCCCAACAGCAAGCAAAACACACAGATCTCTGACAGGAGAAGCGAAGCAGGAAAATGCAAAGCAGCTTGTCCAAGCTTATGCAACAGATGAGAAGCACAAACAGCACACAGATCTCCAGGCTCCATCTCTGCGTCCTACCATCCTTTCATTTAAAAAAACTTAAATCCTATTTTGCACTCCAGAAAGATTTTCCACGTAGCTTTAAGTGTTAATTCTGAGCTCCACAGATTTTTTTATTTTTTTTTCTTGATGTGGCACCTCACCCATTATCTCCTCTTCTGGACACATACAGTATAAAAGGATTTAGTATTTCAGAACCAAGAAAACAAGGGGGAAAAAAAAAAAGTCCTAAATTTTTATCTAAAGGCAAATTCTTTTTCCTATAGGCACATTGAATACAGGTTTGAACTAGCACTCATTTTTTATCTTACGAGGAGAGAAAAGACTGCTTGGAAACCGTATGAAAATTAAAAGTGCTAAGATACTGCTAAATATATATATTTATGATGTTTCCATTTGCTGAATTAACATAATGTACAATGTATTTTATGTATTATCTGTTCGGCTCTAGATACACTTCACTGCAGGCAGAGATGAAACAATTATCCAAAACACTGACAGATCATTTTTTAGCCCCGTGAAATGCAGCGAGTAACACAGACCAGTTCAGCACACAGCTCCTACCTGTGGGGCACAAGGATGGCTCCTACAAAAGACACACCAAAATTTCTCAGTCTTAATGGTGGTGCCAGAGTTTTCTATGTCAAGCCACAGAGGCAACTCACAAAATGGAAATCTAACAACTAATCTTAGCACACTCCTCACTTTCTGCAAAGCACACATCAAACTTACAGGTACTTTCACATCTGACATAAATTAAAAGCCTTCTTTTACAACCAAGTTGTGTTTTTCATGTTTCTAAGTCATCCAGAAGACATCACTGTCAAATGGAGAGTTTTCATTTGAATACCCACTGCCTGTGGGAATGGCTACTCCCCACACTTCCAACAACGCTGACCTCTTTGGGGTTTGTCTCCTTTTATGCCATCCATGCCTGCGGACCTTCTCGGAAGCAAAGGGATATCTGAAGAGGAAAATTTACCCTTGCTGCCTGTCCTTTTCTCTTCAAACTCTCTCTGTCATTCAGAGTGAAGGGCAATATGCTCCAAGTCACCTATTTGCTCACAGATGGGCAAGGCGTGGGCTGTCTCTTGAGGTTAGATACTGCTGAAGAGTCAAAATATTAATATTGTGTCTGAAAGTTGAAGCAGCCGTGGTGCCCTCATTTCACAGGTACATGGGACAAACACAACTGACAGAGCAACTCTGTGGAAGGAACTGAGTTGGCAGAGCTCTTGCTCAGCCAGTAGAAAGCTTCTAATGATCTGGTCCCTTCTTAAGACCACCCTCTATCTTCACACAACCGACCATTTTAACAGGACTGTGACAAGAAATTTTTCTACCAACCCTAAACATGTCTGTGTGCCTGGTATTACCTCTTTTTTCTGTAAGACATGAACTGGGATGGATACACTGACATGACACAACATACTCTTGCCAAGATCCTGCAGGGCAGATGGAATCTTGGAGCCCACCTTTTTAGCAGAGACTACTATCATGACTAAAACAAAAGCTATTTCAGATCATTATTTAAAGTATACCATTGAAAAACCTAAGGTTTATGCCTTGCAGTAGAAGCATCTGATTAAAATGCACAGTTTAAAGGGAAATCTCTCTGTTTGGCAAGTGAGGCCTGTAAGAATACAAGGTTCCCTTTTCCAAAACAAATGCAAGAGATTTAATCTAATTTAATACATTAATCTGCTACGAATCTTGGGCTAGATGCAAAGCTTTATTTACTGTCCTGAGGTAGGAAAGAGAATCAAGAATCCCAGAACACAAAGCCTGATTATTTTAAGGAAATGCCCATGGAAGAACTAATCCCAGATATTACTGCTTCCCTGAGAGTGAAACAACCTAAAGGACGATTCCATTATCACAGAATGGTCTCGGTTGGAAGGGATCTTAAAGACCATCCAGTTCCAACCCCCTGCCATGGGCAGGGACACCTTCCACTAGACCAAGTTGCTCCAAGCCCCATCCAACCTGGCCTTGACACTTCCAGGGATGGGGAGTCTACAACCTCCCTGGGCAACTATATTTGATGTTCCACTTGGAAAACACCACACAAGGGAAACAGTAGTAATTCACGAAGATACAAACTTTAAGATGAAGGGATGTCATCTCTCCCTGAATCCCTCTCTAGCTTGGTTTTTTAACCTGGAATTCCAGCTGTGCAGAGAGTTTTGGTCAAAAACCCAACTCCCTTTTCTTTGCACATGTGGCATTCCAGGTGAACAACGTTAACGGATTGCCTTGGAGACCTAGTACGTAGAACTCCTTACGGACACTTGCCTGAATTCCTTTCTTACCTGTTCCCAGTAAGTCATGCCCAATTTAAACAGCCTTTTCCAGGTGTCAGAGTGCCCCACAGGTTATGTAATGCCTGACCACCCTCCAGAAAGCGACGGATCAGGTATCACAACTTAACCATCCTGGCATGCCTGAGAATTCATTAGATCACACTCTGCCCCAAGGACTGCACCATCCCCACCCTCATGTGCAAATGGATAAGGATATTAAGGATGCCTTTGGTAATTTCATCGGTATTTTTAATGTGAATTTTGAGACAGACCTTTTTTTAAGTGGAAAATTGCATCCCATTTATCCCACAGCTTTTATTCTTTACCTGGCTTGGCATTTCTCCAAGTAATTTAGGACCTCTAACAGAAAAATCACTGTAAATTACCAGGAAATAAAACTGGACAACAGCAGTTCACCAGAACTGGTGATTTCGTTATCGCTTCCAGCACTGACCACACGTATTGCAGGGGGAAAAGTTGACCAGGTTAAAGACTTTTCCATTTCTATCTATGATCTCTCAGGGAATGTGCTAAGGAAACGGTCTCCCTACTGAATCATTTCAAGAATTTTACAGCCAAGATGATTTATTACCATAAAACAGGTCTTGGAAACAAGGACATTTGAGGAGACTCAATAGCTATTAAATCAGTGTGGAAAACATGATGCTGAAGGAATTGCAGATGCCTGACACATGTTCTACTACCCTTTTTTTTTTTTCTTAACACTGAATGTCTATTAAAACCAAGCCTGCAGAACTACTTAAAACTTTTCAAACAAAGAGACACAGGTATAAATTAAAATGGCGTTCATATATAAGTAATAAAGAAATAACTAAAGCACCCCACAAAGGCTGTTTGACAAACTGGAGTCACCAATAATTTCAAAACCTATGCGTTAAAAATATACTTATCACTTAGTAAACAAGCTGAGACACATTTTGCAGAGTTATAGATGTTTTAGAGTTGAGTCAACAATACATAGAAAACCTCACACCACCTTTTAATGAGTCCACTTGTTAGCTGGTGTGAAACTAAATTCAGAATCATCTTGGGTTTTGTTATTACAATTGCAATGTAGATGTTGTTGTCGCACAGAACATGCTCTGTTCAAGACAGTTAAAAGCATCTCTTTTTAAAATTTGCCATTGTCTACTACAAATGAATCAGAGAGATGATCTATGAGGCTTGCTATGCAAAACACCACGGAAAAACATGCTGCTTTCTTGACCAAAATGGAAAAAATTCTTGTGCTAAACCAGAGAACTACAGAAATGGTCTGGGTTGGAATGGACCTTAAAGAGCATCTACAGTTCCACGGGCAGGGACACCTTCCACTCGACCAGGTTTCTCAAAACCCCATCAAACCATGAAGACTTGCAATACTCAAGTAACTGTTTTTAATGTATTCCAAAATACTCAGTCAAAATACAGCAGCCTGAAAGGAAGGTTTAAGGTTTTCTCACACCAGCTGATACAAAGTTTTGGAGCCCAAAATCCCTTTCCAGCCCTTCCTGCCTTCAAACCTCTCCTCTCCACGTCCTTGGACCACAGCAGCTACAACAGCAGTAATTTTGCAAGCACGCAACCCAACCCTGAGCTCCTTTATGCCTTGACACAGTGACGACAAAAGGAGAAAAGTGATCCACCTCATGCAACTTTACCTCGAGCCACGTGGCTCCAAACCAGGGAACTCAGTTCTACAAACTGCACTCACAGTCTGGGAAATGAGGAAAGCTAATTGCCTTTTTAATTAAATGGATGTCTTAGAGAACAACTGACCTACAGTCTTATAAAACAGGAAGATGAACATCCACCTTTGACTTACATTTTGGGTTGTCCTGGTTCACTTGTACAACTCAGCCACCTTTCCTTTTTCTGCAACACAAGAAAGAAGACAAATTCTGTTAAAAAAAAAAATGAAGTATTTACTTGAACTGAAGTTTCTCATTACATTGTTAATTAATGCTTGAAGCTTACTGTTTGCTTTCAGTCAACACTGGAAAATATTTCCCTCCTTCCTTTTCTGTTTCTCTGATTTTGATTGCCAGAGTATTTCTCCTACATGACACAGCTCTATCAAGATGAACCATGGAGACTTCCTGGTGATTAGAGCATAACACTGAAGAACCAGAAATAAATCCCAAAACCTACTGCAGAGTTGACCAAAGAAACTCCTCGTAGTCATAGAGAAAATGAATAAACAAATAAAAAGAAAATATCTAATTGCTCAAAGATATCTTTGTAGTCTTGCTAGATCTGTGACTGCTCATTGTTGGCCTTCAGCACCTAATTCAGAAAGGTGATGACCTGCCCTTGGTTTGGGGTCGTATCTGGTTGCCCAAAGTTTCAGGCACCATAAAACACTTCAGTGGGAGCTGAATATTGAAGGGGTTGGCCATTATGTCCTGCTTTGTACTTTGGATTACCTGTAGAAATAGAGAAGGTATATCCATACCTTACTGGGAATTGAAACAAAAAAAATAAAGGCAAGCAACCAAAAAACCAGACACAAAAATCTCCTAAGTAGAGTTGTGAGGGTATTGTCCTGAAAAAGAATGCTCCGATGCTACATTCTCTATTTAACCACATAATTAGTAAACTTCCAGCAGAAGCTGCAAAAAAATTCCTCATTCCCTTACTAGGCCAAGTAGCGACCTGGAAGAAGTACTCAAACCTCCATGAAGAACTGGTATGCTCCAGATAATGGAAAAACTAAGTAACTGGGGACGTACTGGAAAATGAAGCACAGAGACATCTCATCACTCAAGGTTAGGGCTGTTCTTCTTCTGCTGAAAATGGTAATTTTCAAGAAAAAAAAAGAGAGACTATTAAAAAAAAAAGAGAGAGAGAGATGGAAAGAGGAGGACACCAGGCAGAAAGAATTCTGGCTCTGCTTTGCAGCCAGGAAGGAATAATAAAGCAACAAGTAAATGCCAACATGGATTTGTCAAACTGCTTCACTCCCCTTCCCAAGAAGTTAGAAAGCCCTAGGATATGGAGATGGTGCAGTAATCAGTCACCTTAGCGTGGTAGTTTTCATGCCACGTCATACTGCTTTCCCCCAAATCAATAAAAGGATCACAGAACTGGACGGAAAAACAAATCCAAAGAACAAAACTTCATTGTTCACAAAGTGATCACACAGATCTTGGCACGTGGCATCCAACCTCCAGCATCAGCAGAACCCCGACGCCTTCAGAAGGAAGACAATTATCTCGTTAATTCATCAGAAAACTATGCATGAGAAGTGCTTTCTTAATCCTGAGTCCTAAAATCTCAATATGAAATAAATACATGTATCATTAGGGGGTATGAAATCATCGAACTCCTTTATAAGGGGCACCATTAAACTTTAAGCTATTTAATTTAGCACAACAATAGAGTTTTACAAAGTGTGTTTTTCACTAATGACCTGGCCACTATTTTTGTTATTTTTTTGCCTGCAAAATGCACAGCCAATATTTGTGGTTTTTATAAAAAAAAAAAAAAAAAAAAGACGTTTCTTTCTCAAAATGTTGTGCAGGAAAAAAAAACAATCCAGAAAAAAATTAAGCTCAGAGTACAATCAAATATACAAAGGAAAACCACACAAGTACAGATTTCATCATACTCCTCCAGATTTTAAATAGATCAACATATTTTGGAGATGGGTGTGATTTTATGCGAGCTGTGCCCCTTTAAAATTGGCAACTACATTTAATTCAGTTCCTTCTTATTCCAAATTCCAAACTCCAGTTGAAAATAGATCTCACAATGGAGTCCTACAGCTGAATATACTCTAGGAGAAAATTAATACTCTAATTTATTCCAAATTCATTTGCATGACAGTATATCATTAGTATATACAAAAAAATATGTATTATATCAACAGAGAAAAAATTCTGTGCAAACAGTGAAAGAAACTCGCATCCCACCAGCGAGATAAGCTTGAAACTTAAAGCACAAAGCTGTTTTATTTCTCTGAAAAACAAACACACACAAAAAAAAATACCAAACAGAGCTGTTCAAGGTCCAGATTTTGATTTTTTTAAAATACCGTGTGATCTTAACAAACAACAAGGCAGATATGATTTCTTGCATACCAGGTATCTCCTAAATAGCTGAAAAGAGCCACGCAGACAAGCCAGGACAGACTAAAAATAACTGATGTAACAACTCGGGTACAGAAAGAGGTTTTCCTACCTCACTGATTAGTAACAAGTAGAAGAGGAAAGGAAACACACACTCACTTTAAAACTCCATCAACCTTGTTGTCCTGGAAACAATCCTCCTACAAAAGAAGTACTTAACTACTAAAGCATCTTCTGCTACTACTTTTTGGTTTTTTTTTCCTTCCACCCCCTTCCCTCTCTGCAGTGCTCTCAATGTCTGATAAACAGCCAGTACCAAACCTATCTCGTAAAATGGCACAGAAATTGGATCTCTCGCTCCCAGAAGAAAATATAAAATTCCATTTGAGTATGCAGCACTTAGTTTTGCACAAAGCCCAAGGAACAGACTGTAATTCTGTTGTTGCTGTTGTTGTTAAAATGACTTATTAACTGAACCTTTAATTTTAGAATATGTAATGCTGGTAAAAGGTACCCTCAGCATGTTCTTCCTGGGAGCAGAGTGAGAAATCTCAGACTGCAGAGCAGGCTCAGCCCTCCCTCGTAGGTGCTGAACAGCATGTACAGGCTGGAGCTCTGTACATAAAAATATTTGCTGCAAGGCTTCCTCTCTCCACCTGACCTACCATGAGCTTTGTCCTTCCACTGACCTCATCCAGAAAACTTAAAATTAAGGACCAAGCTCTACCCTCAATATATATTCCCAAATACTCCATCAGCGAAATGTTTACTGCCTCCCCAAACATTTTCTGTTCAGCCTGAGTTTCCTGCTCGCCTGATTGTACCTGGAGCTGAACAGGTTAATGTCAACCTTGCCTGCAGGAATGTTTATCCACGTGTAGCAGGACAGAGACGCTGAACCATGAAAACCAACACACATGGTATCACGGGATCCCCTTTTTCAGATCCAGGAAGGACTCCATACAGACATTCCCAGGATAACAAACGGGACAGATACTCTTCCTGAAGGATGAACAAGGCAAGAGGACAACAGGACAAAAGGAAATGGCCTCAAGTAGTGCCAAGGAAGGTTTAGACTGGATATCAGGAAAACTTTCTTCATGGAAAGAGTGGTCAAGCATCAAACAGGCTGCCCAGGGAAGTGGTGGAGTCATCATTCCTGGAAGTGTCCAAAAAACACGTGGATATGGCACTTGAGAAGGTGGTTTGGTGGTGAATATGGTGGTGCTTTCAAGCTGATGGTTGGACTTGGTGATCTTAGAAATCTTTTCCAATTCAAACCATTCTATGATTCCATACAAACCAGAAAACCTGCTGGATAAACTCAGCCTTATTCACATACCTGGGGTGAAGAGTCCTCTCTTGCCACTGAATACCTCTATGGGAGTATTTTGTGTCACAGACCACAAAAAAAAAATCCCTATTTCTGGTTTTATGGTTACTGTCTGTGTTCGGAAGGGAACAGAACTTCTTGGTAATGTGCACCACATTGCTGACCACAAAGAAATTCAAAAAAAACCCAAAAACCTCCTCTTAAGAGCAGAATTTTTATTGTCTCATATTCCCCCAGAAAAGCCCTGGGATCAGGAAGTCTTAGCAACTCCTGACTTTAAAGGAAAGAGCTCTAAGCAGGTTTCAGACCACAACTTTACACTCAGCATCCATCCATACACTGCTCTTTTTCCTTCACAGCCCATTTGGATCAGATACAGTGATTTGGCCTTACCAAAACTGTCCAGTCCACAGCAACAAATATACTTATATAAATGCTTTTAAATTCTTGCTTTTTGAAGTATCGATGTCCGAAGAAATTTTGCCTCTGACCCTCTCAGTCAGCCTGCCTAAACATCCTGCTTTCCAGTAAAATGCCAGAGTCTGCACTGGTCTCAGATGGGAAAAATCACAATACACTGCTTTCAAATGAGACCTGTTAATTACCAAAATTATTCCCACAGCGAGTCCAAAGGGATTTTGGTTCCTTTAGACAATTACACCCAGCAGTTTATTCAGCAGTTTATCTCTTATTTATTATCATCACTCTGCTAAGGAGGAGACCTGCATTTTCCCTTGACTCCCTCCAACTTCCAATGTCTTTACAAGGTCTTTTCATGTCCCCTATTAATGCTGGTTACCCATGTCTTTTTACTTTAGATTTTTACATAATCCTTATCTAATTGTTTCCCAGAGAAGCTGTGGATGCCCCATCCCTGGAAGTGTTCAAGGCAAGGTTGGAAAGGGTTTGGAGCAACCTGGTCTAGTGGAAGGTGTCCCTGCCCATGAATAAGAACAGAATAAAATAATTTTTAAGGTCCCTTCCAACCCAAACCATCCTATGATTCTAATATGCTTTTACATTAGTTTTAAATTGTGTCCTTGTTACTGCTTTTCAAATGACTTAAATTTAATATACCAACATGATGCACAGCTTTTTTTTCCTTTTTCTCTTGTGCTTTTACTCTAGACATTGTTAACCCTCAGGTCTCTATGTAGCCTCTGTACTTCTTTAAGCATCTCTGGAGAGATCAGAGAATCTGATTTGGGTTGAAAGGGACCTTGCAGATCATCCAGTTCCAACCCCCTGCCATGGGCAGGGACACCTTCCACTAGACCAGGACATCTGCTTAGCTGGTAAAATTAGCTGAAATCTCAATTGATTAGGATCTGAAGTAGCTACCAATAAACTACTATCACTAACAGATCTGAAATCTCAACCTCACAGTCTTGAGCTGCCTCTGCAAAACGCCAGGGATCAGGATTTATAATTTCTCATCCCCTCCACTACGGATCCAGCTCCCTCGGCAGCAT